AAACAAACGTAATTTCAGCATACATACGCATATAGTATATACATATATACACTGATTACAACACAGACAGCAATAACATTCTGGGGACTGACTGTTCCTGAATCAATGAACACATTGTAAACAGGTATGCTATCAGCCGGTGGAATAACTAATCTGCCTTATCAAGCCGTCATCATGATTATTTAAAATCTTCTTGATGATGAGCTTCGTTACCTTGTGTGGCACGTGACTAAATTGTATTGCTGTTCGTGAAGCTTTACATTTTGAATCTTATCGACCAGAAGTACAATCCTCGACACATCTTACAGTCCTTGACAGTGGCATATTGATGAGAGTATGCACGGAAAAGAAAACAATATCCCATTTGATGAACTCAGTTGGACCGTTCGTTGAGATACTTCTTTAAACTTTTTGATTTAATTTTATTAGACACCCTGGAGTGCTGAACAGCAGATGGTTAAATCGCAACAGTCATGAGGACCTGCAGTCCAGTGATGGAAACTGGTGAACCGGCTCGTTTAAGCAGATATTGAACCGGACGAAGGCGAAGCCGTGGTGGGGTTTGAACCTGGGACCATAAAGTTCAAAGCACTCCAGTGATAGCAACTAAACCACTACGCCATAAGTAGCCTGATATGACATAAATTACCCAAAAGCTAACTCCCCCAGGTTCACTGATTGTTTTTAAAGATTTAGCATTGTCGGTCCATTGTGTTTATGGGGTTTCCGAAACGCGCCTTTCATCTAAGCGGATTTTGAGTACACACAATCATAAACCATCGTGATAGCATTTACTAATGACAGTCATGAAGGGTAGATCGAACGGAAGCTAGAAAGCTAGGTGAGTTTTGTCTGCGGTGAGAAACGAAACGGAAGTAAAGTTTTGAACAAACAAAATAGAAACGACGCACACTCACAAGCAGCAACAGCAGCCACACAGAGAGAGGAAGTAGTTAAAAATCAACCCACTGATAGCCTTCAATTGTCTTATTGGTACTTCTTATCGTGACCGAATCTCGACATTCCGGATTCAATAGACTCCAAGCACCAGTTACAGTTAGTTTTTTTTACTTCTGTGTTCAGCTCTCGGTTGTCATCATCCGGCAGACCGTCAGTAAGATTAGACGATGAGATCAAAGATAAAGAGCGCCGGTAAACTGGGTATATAGATGATGCGAAACCTCGCATTATCTTTATCACAACGTCAAACAACCTTGCCCATCTAGAACGACTCAAAACATCACTACAGACAGGGAATCAACCGCATAGTCTATGTGGTCAAAATGTTAAGCCTTCACTGTCATACTATAAATGTAACGGATCGTCGCGTACAAATGCCCCGTAGTCACTATTGGGTGTGATAACGTAGTTATTCGAACTTGGTTCCAGAACCAGCTTCGTTGTGTTTACTCATCTGTCAACAAGCTCAACGATCCGATTGAAGTCGACCTAACTGAGGTGATACTCACAAGTAACTGCGAGCTACATCAGAAGTTACATATNAAACACTGAAAATCGGCTCTGATGTCAAGTTAGCTCAAATTAGACTGATCCAGCCCACAACACCTAATACAGAATCATTGCAATGATTCTTTGAAACTTGTTAGTCTCAAATCCACTCCCCGAGCAGAAAATGACATTTGCGTTGCATAATTCACATCGGGAGTTCAAGTAGAAGAATAACCAGATAGAAGGTTATCGGATATGTATGCCTGATGAGCATCAAGGACCGCAAAACCGGTCGTGTGCTTCTGGGAATTGTTTTCCTGTCATTCATATACTCTTAGTTATATACATATACATATATATATATATATATATATATATATATATAGAGAGAGAGAGAGAGAGAGAGAACTGAACGTTATCCGAAAGAGAACAAAAAATCGTTGCTCTTGTCCGAGTGACTAGGACACAAAAATGAATCATTTGTGCTCAGG